CACAATTAAAAAAATAAATGTAGTTTTGATTACTTTTCATATGGACTATACAACCAATTTGAACTAAAGAGGACATATATTTGTGTATGTCGTAATAAATAGGAAACATAAAAAAAGATATTTTGTATGAACCTTTATAGAATAGATGGAAATGAATATACCATAAGTATTTTCTAAGTTATAAAGGTAATAAAAAGTCGATTGAATGGCGTTAAAGAAACTATATGATACTTAACAAAGTACAGCATAGTACTACACTCTGCATTATTGATCATATTATCATATTACTAATCACATGGCCATCTAGTAAGTTAAGCGTAAAGCTTTTCGCATTCCATTCTACTTGATCTTATAGGTATGCAATTAACGACATCTTTTGTATTAACAGTTAAGCCTAATTTACAGTGGATGGTGATTATGTCTATAGTTTTATTTGAAATCTTTTTTGTTTCACACTGTATGGTACTTTATGGAGTATAGCAATGGCTGGACTCTGTATTATTGTTGCCGTGGGCACAACTCTATCCGTCACATTAGACCTATCATTTTAACTGATGCCATTTAATCGCTGAAGAAAGCAAATTATCTAGTTAAACACTTGAAACTACTTCGCAGTAAAAGACTAGTAAACAAAATCTCTGTTTTAGCACTTAAAACTACCTCATAGTGAAAGACTAGTAATTTTAGTCACAGTCCAATACCAAATGTTTTAAGTTTTTCAGTTTCATGTCAGAAAGTATTGCTATCATCTTCTATGCTACTTTTCATTTAAACGAGAACCTCACTGTCAACTTTCCCTAAAAAACGCCCAGACTTTCTGAGTTGAACTATGTATTATTCGATCTTGAGCACAACTCTATCCATCACATTCGACCTAATATTTTTTCTCATGCCGCTTAGTCGCATATGTAAACAAATTCTCTATTTTAACACTTAAAACATTTTATTATACAGTAAAAGACTAGTAACTCTAGCCACAGTTCTATACTAAATATTTTAATTTTCATGTCAGAAATCCAAAATGTCATCTCCCATGCCATTCTTTATTTCGATTTAAAAAATTACTGTCAACTTTTCATCTAGAAAACCCTAACCGCTGGAAGATGTCTTATAGGGTAACAGGTTAAGCTAAGACATTTTTCAAAAAAACTTGAAATATAAAAATTTTATAAACGTCCTGCTCACTTAAGTATCTTTTGGGCAAAAGTTGTGGCTATTTTAGAGACTATAGCTAGTTTTTAAGTGAAATGATATTTGAATCTTCACTTTAATGATTTTAAGGAAGGGTATTAAATAAAATAATTAATTGAAATATATATATTTATACTATTAAATACCAAAGATGCTTTAAGATAGAAGTATATATATTTATACTATTAAATGCCCAATATGCTTTAAGATAGAAGCATATATATTTATACTATTAAATACCCAAGATGCTTTAAAATAAAAGTATATATATTTATACTATTAAATACCCAAGATGCTTTAAGATAGAAATATATATATTTATACTATTAAATGCCCAAGATGCTTTAAAACCGTAGAGTTCAATTCCAACAACATCTATTACAACTTTTGATTGCTACACAATTTTTAACACGTATTAACGCAGTTATACATATGTCTTTTTTGGATATTTCCTTAGAAGGGTAATGCAGCCGATTGCAAGATAGTTGAACTATACATAATACATTCAAAACGGGTAGAAGATCTGGGCAAATTGCCAGTTGCATTTGAACAGAAATTGTAATTTATCTATGTTGAGTAATTTAATATACCATGGGACCTATATATAATTTAATATAGGATCTAACGATATGTAAACATTTGTGGACTTTATTCTTATAGTGGAGTTGCTGACGAATCAATGTCAGTAAGTAACTATAATAAAAGTTTGAATCCCCCTTTTCTTTTTTAATATAGCATACCTATAAATGTCTGATGTTTTTAAAGTAGAGCGCCCCTTAAGTTTTTTCAATATCCAACCCAATATTAGACCGAACTATATATCTAAACGTATTTCATTTTTAAGTCAATTTCATTCAATTTCAGGACCTTATTTTTAGCTATAAAAATATTTTCATTTTCGTCCTTTTAGACATAGTTAAACTTTCTTGAAGTATAAATTTACTAGACCAATTCAAAATAAACAAAAATTAAGAATCAAGATAAAAAGGAACTCAAATACCTTTACTACCATTAATTTCAAATGTAGAGTTTTACTATGCCGATTATTAGAGCAGTAATAGGAAAGAGGCTATTCATATTTCCTGCAATTCTATTGATTATGAATAAATGTACAAACCCACCTGTTCAACATTATTTGCGTACAATTAGTGTAAGCTTCAGGGAATTAAGTTAATAACATATTTATTTATATAACATGATTTTATTTTTGTCGTAAATATAACTACGACTTTGTGTACTTATTAGATATAAATTATTGTTAATGTACAATATTTTGCATTCCATGAATTTATATTTAACATATTTGACGGATACCTTACTACTAATTATGATTTCCTGCTAAACATTTATTTGTTGCATGAATTCCCGAAAATATTATTAAGTTAATGATTAATAAAATTACAATTAAATATAAAATTAATCAGACTTATCAAAAAAAATTTTACTTGTTACAAATATTATGACAATATAAGAACATAACACAATTTTGATACTATTTTAACTAGAACCAGAGGAGTAATAATGACTAAACAGTCGTCTTAAGCATAATTAATTAATTGTTCTAATTGAATTTTTTTATCATCACCTAATTATTTCTACATTGCACACCTATGTTTTCTTCAACTAATGGTTTATAGCTATTACTTTATATAGTGAAATTAAAAGTACGTCATTTTTAAGAATAAATAGAAACAAATGTTAAATGAGAGAATACTAGAAGCCTATATGTCAAAGTTATATTATCATAACAAATAACTAAAGACTAAGTACTTTGAGTTATCGGCTGATAAATTTTAATCGTACCGTAAGTCCACTATTTTCTATATAAACAGATCTCTTTGAAATATAGAGCAAAGAAAGCATACTTTAACATAAAACTACATTTTTTAATTCATTCAATTATAATTACTTTAAACAGAAATACAAAAATCAAAGTAATTGAAAAAATGTGAGCAACTCAATGAACGTTTAACTTTTATCTAAATATGGATTTGTGGTGTTATTCTATTACACATAAAAATAATCAAAATAATACTGTAACCCAATGAAACATACTACTGGTCACTTATTACAATGACAAGCAGAACAGCAGTCTAAAATTATAATTTTTAAATGTCATATAAAGTTATCTTTCAGAATATAAAGAAATAATTTATTTGCTTTAAGTTGAATCATTTAATCTCGATTATAACTATTCTTTAGAATTCGTAAATATCTTGGAAATTTCTACATTTCATTAGATGCATAAGCTGTAATAATAGAAGATTCATTACGACTACCGTAATGGAGTAGAGTAAGGACTAACTGGAACTACAATTGAAGAAGGTTAAATATAAAATCAGCCACTTCTATGTCTTTGTGTTTAGTGTACCACATATTTCACTACCACATTTTAAAATGGTTTGGTGATTTAAGACAAATAATAAAGAAGTTTTATTTACAGAATATTTTTATTTGGACAGGTTACACAATGCAACTGAACAGCGGCCGCAAGACGTATACTTGACTACCTTGAAAGCGGGATCTTAGTCCCAAATCAAATAGATAAAATTAAGCTCACAGCTATTACAAGACTTATAAATAGTCTAGAATTGTTCGTTAGGCCTTTAAGCGCACAATAGATTTTTAAGATCAGGGTACATTCATAGCCTATTGTTTAACAATAATAATAATAATACACAATCTTAACGCAAAATAAGCATACAGCTTTTTGAACTCTCTGGGATTGAAAATACAAATGAATTAATTTAAGTATTTTCAGGTTTTAATTCTTATACAATAACATTTGTTTACCTTCTAATATTTTACGTATCCCTAAACATTCCTGACAGTATATCAACAAAAAATTAATAGTTTATATATTGAAAGTGGTATAGCAATATTTTATTTACTTATAAACAACTTTATCGTATCCCAATTAATTTATACATTTATCTATAATACATTTATTATAAAATGTAATTATATTATAAAAATATTAATATATGCTACAAGATGGAAATGGACAGACAAACTACCTACACGGATATGAGATCCACTACACAATTAAATATTTGATACTACTACTGTTTTTAACTAACTACAAACTATAATGTCGATTGTTAAAAAATTTCTAATATTCGAAGGACATGAGATCTTCCACTGCAGACACGTTTAATTGGTCCAGCATAAAATTGGACATCCGCCTAGTCAACAAAATCCATTTTTCTGCTTTATATAAATATACCCTTTTTAAGATTTTCATTGACGAGATTTTTATTGATACAGATTTTTGTTAAAATTAATATATTTCTATTTCAAATGCATTAAATTAATATTTAGAATGAATTGAATTTTATAATCAGTTTAGTATGGGATTTATATATATGGGTTTAATTCTGATTATGTTGTGTTTAGAAGAACATAAAATCTTTAGTTAAATATAATATTTTTATAATGTTTATTATTACTCAATATTGTTTACTTTTAATATACTATTATATATTACTGTAATTATTTAAAAAAACCGCCAAAAAAAGTTTTGAAATAAGAATTTCACTTACAGAGAACAATAGAATCAAAATTTGAGTTAAAATACATTTTCAATGAACAGAGCGCATTCTTTTGTTATTAGCAGCGCACTGTTAATACTTACAGAATTACTCACTGTTATTAACAGACAAAAACTAATTAATATAGATAATAGTAATGTAAGGATTTTAGTATTCTTCTATATCAATATTTTTTTTTTTTGGTCAATTTTAGTATTTACATACATATATATATATAACATATATATTTAATAAAAAATTGTTAGAAAAATAACTCACTTATGCATTTTTTCGCAAAATATTTTTTTTTAGCTTCTTGAAGACGCTGAAAACTGCTAGATAAGCTAATTCTAAACTGTGAGCCAGACGTTGGTGGAACTGAATCCACAGCGTCAATATCAGCCGCGTTGCTTAAACTTCTTGATTTTCTTCTCACAAAATAATTCAGATTCGTGTGTGAACTACTCGTATTTGGGTCCACTTGTTGCTGGTTCGTCGATGGTGCTGGCGAAGATATATCTGAATCCAAGCTTGCGTAAACTGAAATTGAATGTTCGCTTTCATTGGTATTGTTTTTATTTGGATTGTTGCCATTGGTAGGATTGTTATTTGAACCGGAACTTGCCATAACTCTCTCTATACGTATTGTGCGTTTTTCAAGTGTTTATATTTTATTTGTTGAAATTCTTTTTTAAATATATTTAATATATTTCCAATTCTCTTTTCAGTGTCTTTTACTCTTGATTGTTTTTAATATATTTCTATTAATTTAAACATTTTCGCGCGCTTTTTTAAAACAAAATTAAAAATCATTTAGTGCACTTATTATAAACTTTTAATTGTTTCATTATTGGTTTGATATTATATTTAGCAATGTTTAATGGCATGTGTTCTGGACTTGGCTTTGGAAACGGTTATGATTTGAGGATATGTAGGACAATGAATGCTGAAATAAGGATAAAATAAAATGATTAGAAACAACACAAATAGAATGAAGAGTTGAAATGAAAAACGATTATGAAAAGGAAATAATAATACAAAATATAACAAAATAATGATACTTAAAAAGGAGTTAAAGTTCTTAGATATATATATTTAGTAAACTATTTGTAACACATTATAGTTAATGTGCTTATGTTATGTTTTGTTTATTTATAGAATAGGTAGGTAGGTTGGAGTGGCGGCCTTGTTTACCAAGAAAGCCCACTTGAGCACAAATAATGGCCCGTTGTGGCACCACATGCAAAAAGCGATGCTCCTATATAGATAAGGTGATCAGTATACGACCAACGCCCAACTGAGAGGCAACAATTCCCCCATTAGGTGAAGGAAAACCAACTCGACAGTTCTATAAATCTGGCCAGGTCGCTCACATTGTAGGATGACAGCTCAGTCAGATCGGTCAGAAAAGGGGCCCCCAAGATTTTTGATCTTCTTCTGGCTAAAAAAAGGCACTGACACATGTGATGGAACACAGTTTCCTCCTCGTCCTCAGAGCCACAACCGCGACAAAGGTCATTATAAGGAAGACCTAGTCTCATAGCATGCCTCCCTATTAAGCAGTGACCCGTCAGCACCGATACCGTAGTACTGAGCAGATCACTCTTCAGTATAGAATATTATAGAATATTATAATAGAATATTAATATAGAATATTATTCTAATAATAATTCAATAATAAATTAAACAGACAATTTTAAGCCCAGTAGGGTTTCAGATTTAGCAAAATATTCATGATATGGTAAAATAAGTTAGTTAAAGTATTTTCTGATAATAAATTTGTATTTTCAATGACGTGTATTATAAGTATCCAAAAAAAAGTCGTATGCAACATTAATATCACTGCTACATATCATGTTTAGGTGCCTTCTGGCATTCAGTTTACATGAAGCGTTTCAGTTACTCTGTGAATGTAAAATGTCGACCACTTTTTAATATTCTATCGACAAAATACTCGTGAAATGCCTTATTATGGGTGATAAGATGTGGGTGTTAAAATATGATATCCACACAAAGCAACAACTATCCGCTGAATTACTAATTTAAATATTTAATATTCATATATTTTTAAAACAAATTTTTTTTTATTTTTAAAATTTTCACATTTTTTAAACATATATTTTTTAATCATTGTATATACTATTGTAAATACTATTGTATTTGTTAGAAAGGTTTCGAGTTAAACCCTGGTACTTGCAGTCTCAAAAACTTATTAACAAATAATTTAATATAAGAACTACTATCAAGACGACTGATGATGGGTATTTAACAATACTCGAAACAGCTTAGAAAAAATCTTAGAAAAAAATCTTAGAAAAATTAAATAAAAAATGTTTGTAGTTGCAATTTACTATTTTTTGAAACATCCTTTTAAATTTTTGAAGTAATTTGAAGTAAACATTGTTATACATTCCCTATACTTTTTGGACAGCCTGTATAAGAGCTATATTTAGTCAATAACATGTATATTCTATTTGGTGTATACACCAATGAAAAAGGTAGAAATTTATAAAAGAAATTATGGACTCTCAGAATTTTACGCGGAGCAGAAATAATTGAAGCAATAATAACCAAAGCAAAAATAACTTCAACATCAGTGGGTTCTGCAAATAGAAAATACACCTCACAGATCATCTTATAGTGGGATCTTACTGACGAGAAATGAGAATTAACGGAACTACTTAATAGAGTCGTCAAACATGGCAACCAACATTCTCATAGAGATTCAATTCCAGCATTACAATACTCGAACAGCTTAAGTATACTTAAATTCGAAAATTTAGATCAAATACTTCATATATTCGAAAACGTTCTAGATGCTTAAAGCTGTTCAAACTACTTGAACATTAATTCTGTTTTATGTTTCAATTTATTTATATTTTCTTTTATAAAAATACATATAAGATTTAATGATAAAACTCTTAAATGGTGTCTGACCATTTTCGAGAATCTAGAGTGCTCTAACAAAATATTCGAATATAAGCTTACCGAATATATAGTAAAAGACTTACACGTACAAATAGCTGGTATAATATATGAAACATCAAGATACATTAAAAGAAATATAAACAAACGCTATATAACAGCATAAAAAAAGCTAAAAAATTAAGTAAGAAAAAGTGCTATCTAACAGCACAAAAAATAAGAAAAGAAGAATTATTTCTGGAAACAAAAACAAAGAAAGAAAATGATATAGAAAAAATGTATGAAACATCTGTAGAAATTCTTTCAGTTTCTACCAATGACTTTATGATAGAAAACTTACATTCACTATAAAAAATTTAGGAATAAAACATCTAATAGATTGTATATATGCTTATCTGTTTATATAGTAAGATATATATATTTTATATATATATATATATATATAATATATATTTTTATATAGCATGATTATAGTTGCAATTATACTGCATATTATGATTGCTCTATAATAATGAAGTATAATGATAAAAAAACACTTTTTAATGCATGTAGTTTGCATTTTCAAACTTAAATAAATATTTTATTTGCATAATAACCAGTTAAATAGATAAAAAGATATCTTCATTATAGTTAAATGGCGAAAAGTTCATTCAATAATAAATAAAATCACAAAAAAGATAACAAATGTAAGCTTCATTAGGGTTTTCAGGCTAATTTGTTTATTTAGTATAAAACCAAATTAAATATGATTACTGATAAAAATTTATATAAATGAATACCTTGTGAATCCGTTCAAGTACTTCACCGCAAAATTTAAGTTTGTTAAAAAAAAATGTTTAGAAATATTTATGAAATTTTCTTCAAACTTATTTAAATGCGATAATTTTTTAACTTCTAAATAAAAATAATTTAAATTTCATTGCACGTAAAAGCGGGTATTGACTTATTAGGTAAAGTTACTTAACGAGTGTATATAGTAAATATATTTACATAGTCTCCATAAGGCTATGTAAAAATGTATAGTAAATTTATTTAAAAATATATAAAATATATGTATATGTACAAGTATATACAGGGTTATGCATATTTTGTTTTCGAAATAAATTTTTGAATAAGATTTATGTTTAAATATTGCGTGAATTTTGTTATTCAGTTCCCCTCCACGGAATATCTAACAATACTCGATCGTTTTGAAATAATTTTTATGACCTATTCATCTTAACTTTTTATGGATGCAATACACTTTCGACAGTTACTTGTGAACACGGTTGCCACTTATGGTACTTTAGTACCAAAATTGGTACTTTTTTTTTTCGTTTGGTACTCATGTTCAAAAAATGGTACATTTTTGACGACCCAACTTTATTGTGGATATTTCCAATTAATTTTTTTTATAAATGCAACTTTGCACTATTTTATATTTTGTTCATTTACATATAACACTATGAAACACACAGAACGAAAAAACAAAAAGGTCCAAAAAAATTTTGGACCTTTTTTTACAGAAATGGTACCTTTTTAAACCAATTTTGGTACACAAAAAAATTTTCAAGTGGCAACCGTGCTTGTGAATTTTCTCTATTCCAGATCTTGCAATTTAGTTTGTTGCCATATTTATCAGTTACGGGAAGGTCAACAATTTTATTAAAGTTTTTACAATTTTATTTAATTAGAATATTAATTGAACGCTTGATAAAGCCTATTTATAGTCTTATGACATAGAATATTGTGTAAAGCATTTATATGCTACAATTAAGCACTTTTTTTTAGGTTTATTCTTATTTCATAGAAATTATTAATAAGTAAGTTATATTAAAAAAGTACCCATTCTCAATAATTGTGTAATAGTTATTGAAAATTATTTACTCATTTTTCTTTTAAAGTTCTTCATAAAAGTTCATTTTAAGTTCTTCATGAAACTTAAAATGCTGGATCTTTCGCAAGTGATTTTCGATAGGTTGCTTAGGCATAGTTAGCAATAGCTCGACCATAACTTGATAAATGTTCGCTAAAACATTTTAAAGCATGGTTTTTTTGAGTAGTGTTGCATAAACACGATTCTTTGAATAGTCCCACAATAGTTTAGTGGTGACAAATCGTACAGTATTCTACCAAACATAACACCAAACGTTAAATAACCCATATGGCAAATTTCTCGAACAACAAATGCAACAGAGGACTGTTGAAATTACATATCTCTAAAGTAGGATTGTAATCATGTGTTTTTGTAGCAATCAAAACTAAAGGGTTTTGTCCGCTTTCATTATTTTGGAAAACTTCTTTTTATAATTCAATATTTTATTGATATGAGACCAAGTGAAAAATCAGCTTCAATGGTGAAGAAAATTCAGCACAAATGCCACACCACACTGTGAATTTCTATAATGCCATAGATTATTGATATAACTACCATGTTAAAGATGAGCTTCATCATTGACGATTAAGATTATTGTTTTTTTTTTAAACATCCTTTATTGGATATGAATAGTATAATCTTAACTATTTGTTAATTTATTACTATTGCTGAATTGTAAGTAATAGATATTAAATAATATGTCTACATATTATCACAAACATCTCAACGACTATTTTTTATCACTCTATTAGGGGTTTATTTTACAATTTTACAATTTTACAAGCTTATGAATATATTGAAGCACTTTTTTCTGAAAATCAGTCTTCAGCTCTCACAACTAAGAACAATTGGATGCGTTAAATTGTCACCATTTAAGTAAAAAAAAATTTTTTCACATTTAACAAGTTTAGTGTTTATTTAACGATCCCAATTGTTATATGTCAAAATTTAAACTAAACATATGAGGTCTCGGATAACAGTTC